TGACATGTAGACAGATGCATCTACAAAGCCAGGAGTGCCTGTGATGACTAGTAGCTACTAGAAGCAAATATGGACCAGGAAGAACCTCCCCATAGAGCCATGCCCTGAATTCAGACTTCTAACCTCCTGTAAGAATTTCTCTTGTTTAAAGCCACCTAGTTTTGATATGTCTGTTGAAGCAGCACTAGGTATCTAACACACATTCAATACCATATTGAAGTCCTGTGTTAATTAGTGCTCTTGCCTTCCTTTCAGACAACATAAAAAACTTAAAACATTTTAACTTTATTTATGCTCTTCCTGACTTATTAACTATTTAGTTCTTTTTCAAATATTTTACATCACCTTTTATAGTTGCCTCTGCCAGACATCTATTTAAGCTAAAATATTTAAGCTTGAATTTTATTTCTTTAAACATAGTTAATTTGGTTTTAAAATGTGCTTCTCCTCTAATATCTGAAGTGTTGTTGGACCTTTTGTCTTTGTTTCCTTAATCATGGAGTCTAGTTTCTTTATGTGTTGGCCATTGCCTATTAAAAATGATAGGAATGTCTATGAGGTGAACATGTACACTAGGTAGATACACTCCTTGAAGAGAGCAGTCCATTCATGGGAGAATAGAAGGGCTGTGTATGCACAGGGACATAGCTCGGGGGCAGGAGTGCATGGAGGGAAGGACACAGGGAAGAGGTAACTATGGGGAGGAAGTGGGAGGGGAGCTGTTGCATGGGGGTAAATTGTAGTCAATGTCATGAGACAAAGTATGTGAATGCTGTATGGAAAGTGAATTTGCTCTGTAAACTTTCACCCAAATCACAATTAAAAAAAAAAAATTATAGGAATATCTTGAGGCTGGTGAAGGTACCTTCCTCTAGGAAGGATTTACCTTTCCCTCTGTCAGTCTCCTTGGCACATTACTGGAGTTATCTTAAATCAAATTCAAGGCTTGTATTTCTCTGACCTTGGTGATTAGAGAGTACAGATTGTAAATTCCCACCAGGCTTTAATACTTCTGATTCACCTTGATCTTTAGTTTTATTAGTAGTCTCAGAGTCTCTTGGAGATAGACTTAGTCTCTGGAGATTGATATGCAAGTCGTAATACAGTTACCAGAGAAAGTAGAAATGTATGCTGCCTCTTTTCCAGGAAGACATTTGCTGTGAGAGGGCATGGTATATTCAGAAAAATTTTTAAAGAGTTTGAAATCAAACTTTGAAAGTTAGGTGATGCATGATGACTACTAAAATAACATCAAAGATGCATCTCTAACTGTGTCACGTCCTCAGCCCTATTTAGAACTTTTCAGGGACTCTTGTTGCCTTTAAGTTCTAGCCCAAGCTGCTTAGCCTTGTGATCGTCCAATTCTTAGCCTCATTTTCCATCACTCTGTGACTTACACTTCTTTTGCTGTTACTGTTTCCTCCCTTGTTTGTTCTACTGTAACACGAAATCCACAATAACAGATGCTAAGTAGGGTAGATATTATTTCCTTTTCACATCCAGGAAATCTAGAGGTAAATGCCCAGAGCTGTTCTGGTGATTCTGTTCACTAAGGTTGTCACGGTCCTTCCACCGCACTGCTCCACCCTCTCTAGGATGTGACCCTCATCTTCGCAGTCCAGGTTCACAGACATTCTGAGCAGCGGGATGAAGGGAGAAAAGAAGGAACAGTGTCTGGGCTCTGTTGTTAGCTGCCATCAAGTTGCTTACAGCTCAGGCATGCAGCATATGGCGGGCTCCACAGAGCCCTCAAGGCAGTGATCCTTCAGAAGCAGATCGCTGGGCCTGTCTTCCAAGGTGCCTCTGGGTGGGTTTGAACTGCTAGCCTTCTGACGAGTAGTCAGATACTTAAATATTTGTGCCACTCAGGAATAGCATAGCTGGGCTCTAGGTACACTCATTGCTATAGTGGGATGTTACCACTTCTAGGTCTCTCCTGTGGGCAGAGTTCTGACATACATTTATTTATTAACTATTTTATACACATAGACATATGTACATGGGAGCTCTGGTGGTATAGTGCCTAAGGCATTTGACTGCTAACCAGAAGGCTGGCGATTCAAACCCACCAGCCACTCCTCAGAAGGAAGGTTGGGCAATCTACTTCTGTAGAGATGCTGCCTCTGAAATCCAAGGAGGAGTTGCTGTGAGTCAAGTCAACTCCACAGCAGTGAGTTTGGTTTTGGTGTTTTTTTACATATATACATACATATGTTTCATAAGTTTATACTAATACTTCACTTCCAGTTTAACACCACAGGATTCTGCCTGTGCTTTTGCTTTCCATAATTGGAAAAGATCATCTTGTAATGTTTTTGAGATAGGATTGAAAATCAGAAATTAACTTAAAAAAATCAGAAATTTGGGTTTTTAGTAAAAGTGTGTGGTTTCTTACTGACATGAAAAACGTATTTTCTAAAAACTTCTCCTAATTTTCCTTTTATATAAAGAAAGTTTCCAGTCAGTAAACAATTGCTGTTTCAATGGCACGTTTAAAAAGAGGGTGTTAGGGCTAATGATAGGAGGTACCCTCCAGCTCTGGTTGCTGCTCTCCTCCAGGGGCTGCAGGTGTCTGTCGGAGGCTGGATGGCTTGTTACTTTCAAAGCATGGTTACTGTCAGTCTGAATCTATTTCATTTCACTTGTAAAACATATTTGCATCATGTGTAGAGATAATTTGATTCTCTGTTTTCCCCTTACTCTTCAAATTTAAGATCTTTTCGAGATGGTGCAGTTAAGAAACCTTGTTCTCTAAGGATATTGTCCAGCAAGAAACCTTCTGCCTTCTGTGGAATCCGGACTCAGTTACCTAGCCCCAGTCATCCAGTGCAACGTTATGCTTCACATACTTGGAACCGGAGAGGCCGGTTAAGAGAATTACGCATCAGGTGAGCATACCTATGATCACCTGCCTGGGTTGATTTTTCTTTTTTTGGTTAAAATGAGGTAATTCTTGATTCCTGTGTTTCCAGAGACCTTGATGCCTGCTCTACCTAGTGGAATGTGAGATGAGAAGGGTATTTAGGAATCTGCAGACGTAAAATATGTCACTAAGTATTTTTCATTCATGGTCTCCATCTGTGCCCCACAGTGTGTAAGCTATAAAGACTTTCTCATAAGAAGTTAAACAACTTGCAGAGAAACTGATGCTTTTCTGCTATTCTTGATTAGGTATATTAAAGACATCCATTTATTTGTCCAACAAAAATTTATTGGGTGCCAACCAGGTGTCATGCTGGACTCCGAGCATGCAAGGTGAATAAGATGTTACTGATTCACAACCTCGTGAACATTTAAAACCAGGCAGAGTTGACAGACCCTTTTGCAAGCCACAGGAAAGTGTGATCAGTGCTAGGAGAGGAGAAGAATGTGGTCACAGGTGCACATGGCAAGAGGAGCCAAGCTGGGGTACTCAGCAGTGACTTCCTAGAGGAGGCAGTCTAAGCTGAGTCCTAAAGAATATGTAAGAGTAAGCCAGGTAGGGGCAGGAGTGATCGAGGCTGAGCCTAGAGCTTAACTGGACAAGAAGTCAACTTTTTTTTATGTACCTGGCTCCTGTGCTGGGCACTGGGGAGACCATCTGACATGTTCCTACTCTAGGGGCTCACAGTGTAGTGGAAATGACAGCTGTCCCAGCAAGCCAGTAACTGTGAATAGGGTGTCACATAGTCATTCTAGGGGTATGCACAGAGGGATCAAAGCTACTCACTCTGTTTAAGTTGGGGAAGGTCCAGGAATGCTTCACATGGGAGCAGGTACCAGAGAGGAGCCTTGTTGGATATGTGGGCATTTTTGCCAGACGCTTTACACCGGAAGAACAGTGTGAACAAGAGCACTGCATGTACGCCCTTCCCTGGACTCTGACATCTGTGTCTCTTTATTGATTATATTGGAAATAAGTTTTAAATAATCTGCTCGGGTTTAGCTTTATAAATCTGTCCTATGGTATGCTCTGATGCAAGATAAGCTGTAATGCCATCCTTTGATTCATACCAGCTTCCCTCCCTCTAGGACCTTAAAGATTCCTTTTCCTTTCTAGAAGACTGACATAAATAGAATGGAGTTTTGAAAAAAATACATGCTTTCTTTTTCCCTTTTTCAGATGTGTGGCCAGAAAGTTCTTGTATTTGTGGATTCGAAAGACTTTTGGAAGAGTATTTCCCGCTAAAGCCAGGTAGTATTAGCTCAGAATACCAAATTTTTGATTAGTTCATTCCAGGTTTTTTTTTTTTTTTTTTTTTTTTGATCAAACCTATACATAATCTTTATTATGGCGCATATTACATTCCTCCCCCATCTTTTTCCAGTTCCAGACAGATGGGAATGTTTACCTAATATGTAGTAGATAACTTAAACCAAAATCAAACCCATTGACTTTGAGTCAGTACCAACTCATACCAACCCTATAGGAGCAGAACTGCCTAATAGGGTTTCCAAGAGTATTTTCTTTATGGAAGCAGACTGCCACATTTTCCTCCCTGAAAGTGGCTACAAGGTTCAAACCACCAAACTTTTAGTTAGCAGGGAGCCTGATTTTTGTGTGTGTGTGTGATTTGGGTGAATGTTTACAGAGCAAATTCATTTTCCACACAGCAGTTCATACACATATTGTATCATAACATTGACTGCAATTCCCCACAATGTAACAGCTCTCTTCCCACTTCCTTCCTGTAGCCACTTCCTCCCTGTATCCTCCTGTGCTGTGCATTCCTGCCCCCTGAGCTAGCTCCCTGTGCAAACACTGCCCTTCTGTTCTCCCTTGATTGATCGTTACAAAGGGTGTATCTGCCTGATGTAAATGTTCACCCTATATGCTTGTCTCTTGTTTGGCTGGAAGCCAGGAGAGTGAGTTTAGTTCCAGACCTGGAGGGTAACTAGGGACCATGGTCTCAGGGGTCTCCCCAGGCTCTGTCAGCCCAGTGGCAGCAGCTGAGCATTGAACCACTGCATCTGAATGAGGGTGTGGAGGAATCATACTTAAGTAAACCAGGACAGCTAAGATCCTCTTTGAGAAGAAAATGTATGTCCAGGAGAAATAAAGTCTTCCAGGGCACTGGTGAGACTGACCAGTTGACTTGATTGAGGCGGAACCTGGGAAGAAAGTTGTCATTGACCAGGGGAGTGCAATGATAGGAGAAGGTTTGGAGCCCCTCCTTCACTTCCATAGCTGCTGCTACTGCCCACTATTAAGATTACTTTAGCTGTAGTGCAGAGAGCAGGTGACGAGAGGGAGTCACAGCTGTCAGGGAAACCCATCAGGAGACAGGTGCATTGTCCAGGGTAAGGGAAGTGGAAATGGAGAGAAGGGGCCAGGTGTTGGGTATGTTTCCGAGGTAGAATTGACAGCCACTGAGAATGTGGTCATTTTCTAAACGGATATGTTGTGAGTCTTGTTTCCCCCATTCTCCCTCTCCCTTCTCCCTTTACTAGAACTTTTCTGATTCATTTTTTTGATAGTATGGCTTTCTAACCTTGGACATCTCCCAAGTCCTGTTGATTAGCTTGCAAGTAAACTTGACCTGTATGTCTTCTGAAATCTTTCATGTATGCACCTTATGAGGGCCCATCTCCTCTGTGGGGATCTCTTACACTGAGGCTCCTACTGTGGTCCCAGCCTGTTGTGGCCGTGGCTGTTGGGCAGAGTTTGCCTCCCTGGGTTTCCTCCTCCTTCTGGATCTTAACCGTATCCTTTTTCGCTGACTTACTACTTCTCCAGTACCTTCGTAAGTCTTTCCCTCGTTTTCAAGTGGGAGAGGTGATGCCTATTTTGCCATTATTGGAAGTTTCCTGTTTTTGTTTATTCAATTTAGTATTTTATTTATATTCTTCTCTATTAGCTGTGCATGTTTTTAGTCTTTTTTTTTAGTGCAGGGCTTAGAACTGGTTCAAACCGTTTCAGTCATGGCCAGCACAGCAAAATTGGAATAGATCTCAATTTATAAAATGTGGGTTTACTCAAGTGATAACTGGAATGGGAAAACTATGGGTCGAAGCCCTGAGATGGGAAACTCTGAAGAGACGTAGTGAGCCTTTTCAGGAACCGGATGTTGAAAATTGGTTCATTGCCTTGTCTGTGGAGAGCAGCACACATTCAAAGTGGCTCGATCGGCTACCAGCGTTGAGCTGGGCACCACTGATTCTTACTGTGCCTGTCAAGAGGTTTGGTTGCTATGCATCATGCATGTTGCTGCTTTTGTTTTCTAACAGAGAGATTAAGTTTTTAGCAAATTGTCAGTGTGTAATTTTTCCTGTTCCAGTTACCGTTCTGGTATACCCATATATTTCAAATTCAGTCTGTTCCAGTTTTGCCGTGTTGGCCATGACTGAACCAAGAACTGGTCCAAAGCCCTGGGTTAGTGTCTGCCCTGAAGAATATAATACGTATCTGTAACTTAACAGTCTAATGTTAATTGCCTCTTTCCAGACAATGCAAGGTCCTTAGAGCACTTTAACTCTGCCTCTCTCCCACAAGCCACTTACATGCTACTATTGTAATATATTGCAATTCTATGTATATTTTAAAATCTATAAAACATTATTCTAGTTTTTACACCCAACGTCCACTTAGATTCATGCACATACTTTCTTTGTTACCCTGTTTTTCCTATATCTTCAGTTCCTATCTGTGATCCTTTTCCTTCTGCTGTAAAATATCCCTGAATATTTCCCCTAGGGTAGGTTTGTTGCTGATGAATTCTCTCAGGTTACCTCTATCTTAAAATGTTTTTATTTTCACTTTCATTTTTGGAGGCCATTTTCACTGGACATAGAAGTCTGGTTGCCAATTTTTTCCCCCAGTATTTTGAAGATAATACATTGTCTTACGGTTTCTGTTTGTAAGTCTCGTTGCTCTTTTGAAGATTCATTCTTTGTCTTAGTTTTCAGAAGTTTTAATATGATTTGCCTTCATAGATTTATTCCTCTTTTACCTCCTTTTGAGATAATAGGTTCCAAATTTGTTTTGTGGGCACATCTTTCAGGCATGCCTTCATTTGTCTGTAAGCATGTCATTTTGTTCCTCCTCCTTTTTTTTTTTTTTTAGAGTGAGGTAAGTAAGTATATTTAACCTTTGCACATAACTCTAGTTTGAAAAAGGTATTAGTAGATGTAAGTTCATATCTCTCTAGCTCGTATAAACTTTTACAAAACCTCAGGAGCTATGGTAGTGTGGTGCCTAAGGCATTTGACTGCTAACCAGAAGGCTGGCATTCAAACCCACCAGCCACTCCTTGGAAGGAAGACTGGGCAACCTACTTCTGTAGAGATACCACCTCAGAAACCCAAGGAGGGGTGGCTATGAGTTGAATTGACCTGACGGCAGTGAGTTTGGGTTTTGGTTTTTTGGAGTCCAAATAGCTAATCAGTATCACTGTTTGAACTTGATAGTTGTTGTTAGGTGCCATTGAGTCACTTCGGACTCATAGTGGCCTTGGGTACAACACAACGAAATACTACTTGGACCTGTACCCTCTTTACAGTCCTTGCTACGCTTGAGCCCATTGTTGCAGCCTCTATGTCAGTCTGCCTCACCATTTTCAGTGATCATCTACTTTACCAAGCATGATGTCCTTCTCCAGGGACTGGTCCTGTCTGACAGCATGACCAAAGTAGGTGAGGCAGAGCCTCACCATCCTCACTTCTGAGGAGCCTTCTGGCTGTACTTCATCCAGGACAGATTTGTCTCTTCTGACAGTCTATGGTATATTCAGTATTCTTTGCCGATACCATAGTTCAAATGCGTCAGTTCTTCTTTAGTCTTCCTTATTCACTGTCCAGCTTTCACATGTATATGAGGCAGTTGAAAATACCATGGCTTGATCTGGCATATCTTTGTGACATCTTTGCTCTTTAACACTTTAAAGAAGTCTTTTGCAGCAGATTGGCCCAATGCAGTACGTCGTTTGATTTCTTGACTGCTGTTTCCATGGGCACTGAATGTGTGGATCCAGATAAAATGAAATCCTCAACAACTTAAGTCTTTTCTCCTTTCATCATGATGTTGATTATTGGTCTGGTTGTAAAGATTTTCATTTTCTTTATGTTGAGGGGTACTCCATACTGCAGACTGTAGTCTTTAATCTTTATCAGTAAGTGCTTCAACTCATTTTCACTTTCAGCAAGCAAGGTTGTGTCATCTGCATATTGCAGGTTGTTAATGAATCTTCCTCCAATCCTGATGCCATGCTCTTCTTCTTGTAGTTCAGCTTCTCAAATTATTTGCTCAGCATGCAGATTGAATAAGTATGGTGAAAGGATACATCCCTGATGCACACCTTTCCTGATTTTAAACCATGCGGTGTATCCTTGTTCTCTTTGAACGACTGCCTCTTAGTCCATATACAGGTTCCTTGTCAGTACAATTAAGTGTTCTGGAATTCCTGTTCTTTGCGATGTTATCCATAATTTGTTATGATCCACACAGTCAAATGCCTTTGCATTTTCAGTAAAACACAGGTAAACATCTTTCTGGTATTTTGTGCTTTCAGCCAAGATCCATCTAACATCAGCAGTGATATCCCTTGTTCCATGTCTTCTGAATCTGGGTGAATTTCTGGCACTTCCTGTCGCTGTACTGCTATGACTGTTTTCACATTATTTTCAGTATAATTTTACTTGTGTGTAATATTAATAATATTGTTTGATAATTTCTACATTCTGTTGGATCACCATTCTTTGAGATGGGCACAAATATGGATCTCTTCCAGTTGGTTGGCCAGGTAGCTGTCTTCCAGATTTCTTGGCATAGAGGAATGTGTGCTTGCAGGGTTACGTCCACTGATACATCTCAGTTAGTACTCTGTATATTCCTGGAGCCTTGTTTTTCCCCAGTGCCTTCAGTGCAGCTTGGACTTCTTCCTTCAGTGCTATCGATCCTTAATAATATGTTACCTCCTGGAATGGTTGAACTTGGACCATTTCTGTGTATTCCTTCCATATACCTTTTATACTCCTGCATTGTTCAATGTTTTGTCCATGTTGTTGTTGTTATGTGCCATCGAGTCGGACCTGACTGATAGCAACCCCTCCTTGGGTTTCCGAGGCAGTATCACTACGGAAGTAGATTGCCCAACCTTCCTTCCAAGGAGTGGCTGGTGGGTTTGAACAGTCAGCCTTCTGGTTAGCAGTCAAGTGCCTTAAGCACTATGCTATCAGAGCTCCTATTTTGTCCATAGA